CGGAGGAGGAGAGACGGAGGAGGAGAGACGGAGGAGGAGAGACGGAGGAGGAGAGACGGAGGAGGAGAGACGGAGGAGGAGAGACGATCGCCGCCTTAAAGAATCGAGAACAATCCCGACGGACGGGCAGCACGAAGAGAGACGCCGCACACGGACGCCCCCCACATCTCCACCGCGAGCGTGCGAGCGTGCGAGTGCAAAACCAACATTCGCTTGGGGGGGCAGGGGGGGGGGGGGTCTTTTTCATGTTTGTTTAATCCACGGGGAGGAGAAGTACATTTTTTTTTTGCTTACCACACGGGAGGGGGAGGGGGGGGGCTGAATAAGACGTTCATTACCAATCACCACCCTCCCCTTTCGCCCCCCCCCTCCTTTGTTATCCCCCGCCCCCCCCCCCCCCCACCACTGGCCAAATCTGAGTCGAACCATCGTGGTCGCTTTACAGTTACACGGTTGGCTGTTTTTTTTCTTTCCCACCAGCTGTTTTTTGTGTTTGTTTGTTTGCCGTGCCGAGCCAGAACCAAACAGTAAAACGCGCTTTGGACTTGCGGGACGACGTCCGAGTCTGGCTCTGGGTGGGTGGGGGCAGGGGGGGGGTCAAGCAGGGCCACGGGGTGGGGCCAAGCAGGGCCACGGGGTGGGGGTCAAGCAGGGCCACGGAGCGGGGCCAAGCAGGGCCACGGGGCGGGGCCAAGCAGGGCCACGGGGTGGGGCCAAGCAGGGCCACGGGGCGGGGCCAAGCAGGGCCACGGGGTGGGGCCAAGCAGGGCCACGGGGTGGAGCCAAGCAGGGCCACGGGGTGGGGGTCAAGCAGGGCCACGGGGTGGGGGTCAAGCAGGGCCACGGGGCGGGGCCAAGCAGGGCCACGGGGTGGGGCCAAGCAGGGCCACGGGCTCAGTGATACGGCCTCTGGCAGCGGGGCTCCGTGCCATTCAACAGCGCTCGCGCCCCCCCACTGCCAACCCTCGACCACCCCCACCCCTCACCACCACCCCAGCAACCGCCCCCCCCCCCCCCACTAACCCCCCGGCGCCTGAGCTACACGAACACATGCCCCCCCCCCCCCTGCATGCTCAACAGTTACACCGCCACCACCGCGCACGCCGATGGCGGGAGAGAGAGGGAGAAAGCGCGTCACGTGGGACGACTTGATGGCGATATTGACGACGGGAAGGGTAGTCAACTTCCACGACACGCCGGGTTGACCCCCCAAGGAGGGGGGGGGGGTGGGGGGGGTGGGGGATGTCCTCGGCGAGCCTCCCCCTGCGACCCTCTGACCCCAGCCGCCCTGGCCCCAAAGGTCATTTCGACGTTTTGGCCAATTCCATCATCGTCGAGGCTGCAGCAAGCGAAGCGTCCCCGGAGGAACAAAAAGACCGCCGACCCCGGCACGGAGCGGCAACCCCCCCACGTTGATCCACTTGTAGATACCTCAATAAAATAACGGACAGGCGATAGGGTGGTAGGGATACGCCGTGTGATGTCTCAGAGCCTCCCGTAACGTCTCTCTCCCACCGATCTCAATTCGCGCGCGGTGTCACGTCCCGTTAACACGCTCCCCCATCCCACCGCCCCCCGCCCCCCCATGACCATTATTACTCCCCCCCCCCCCTCCCCAGCAAAGGCCTCACAGAGGGTCGGTCCTATCAAGTTATTTTAGCAGTAGGGGGCCAGTGAAGTTGTCCGATGCGATCCTAAGTTGGTCGCAAGTGGGGTGGGGGGTTGAGGACGCGCAGGTGGCGCATCTGTCAAAGTCATCTCAGTCCAGTCAACCCATGGCACCACCTGGGCCTGTCCCGTGACCTCTTCCTGCACCTAGCCTGGCACAGCAGTCAACCCATGGCACCACCTGGGTCTGTCCCGTGACCTCCTCCTGCACCTAGCCTGGCACAGCAGTCAACCCATGGCACCACCTGGGCCTGTCCCGTGACCTCTTCCTGCACCTAGCCTGGCACAGCAGTCAATACAAGGCATCACCTGGGGTCTGTCCCGTGACCTCTTCCTGCACCTAGCCTGGCACAGCAGTCAACCCATGGCACCACCTGGGCCTGTCCCGTGACCTCCTCCTGCACCTAGCCTGGCACAGCAGTCAACCCATGGCACCACCTGGGCCTGTCCCGTGACCTCTTCCTATCAGCAGCAGCAGCAGCGACACTTTAAACTCGACGAGAACTAAACGACGTTTAATTTTACCAGGCAAGGCCCACCGAGCTATGCTGTGCCGCTCTGTTCCAGAAGCCACCCGTCACAAATGATAGCTCAACGAGGTGGGTTTATCATCATCACGTGGAAATTTACAGCAGCCAAGTAACTCTAAACGCCGCGACGGTGACTTTGAATACGAAGGCGGGGGGGGGGGGGGGGGGGGCAAACCGGAGGACCCGGAGACAAATCCACGCCACCACGGTGAAAGAGAGCGAGACACGCAAACTCCAAAATATTCAGGCGTCAGCGTCGGGATCAAACCCACGGCAGGCGAGGTAGTTAACATCTCCTAGCCACCGCGACAACCCCTAGATTCCACTCCTCCGTGGCATCACAGCCTGGCACAAGCGCCGTGATGATGTCACCGCCACTTACTGGCGAACGGCGCTTCTTGGCGTTGCCGACGATCACAATTGGGCCTTTTGCAGGATATGCTTTCGGCACCCCGGGGGACGTTGCTGGCAAAATACCTGTCACATCGCACGAGGGGGATTTTGTCCTTTTTTTTTTTTAAATCCGCGGGAGGAAAATCAAGAGCACCCGGCGGAAAGCCATGCAGAAACATAGGCGGGGGGAGAGAACGCACAAAATTCTAAGGCACCCGGAGTTGGGGATCGAACCCAGGGGCCCTGCTCACGAGCGGTCACCAGATGGGGAGCCGTCGGCTGCTCTCTCAATGTTCGCTCGGTCGTTGAGAAGCAAAGTCGGGGGCGGTCATGGGAAATCGGTGGGGTATCTGCACGTGGATCACACTGCACACGTGCCGTACACGTACGTGGGAACTTCTTTCGCACCGTGCGTAGCCGACCGTGCCAATTGGAGGTGCGGGAATAGTGGGAGCAGTGGTGGTGTGGTGTTGGTGTTGGCAGTAGTGGTGGTGGTGGTGGTAGTAGTTAGTGGTGGCGAGATGATGATGGTGGATGCAGTGGTGTTGGTGTTGGTATAGCGGTGGCGTATGTGTGTGTGTATGTAGAACTTCTTTTGCACCGTACGTAGCCAACCGTGTTAATCGGAGTTGCGGGGGCGGCGGGGGGGGGTGTGTGGAATGAACGTCGGAGTGGCGGTTAGCGCACCGGGCTCCGACCCTGGCGACCTGGGTTCGACATCCGACCACGGCCAACGTCAGATGGCCAAGCATCGCCGGAACTGGTCCGGAACCAGAACCGGCCCCGCCGCCCATCTCCGCTCCTTCGCCGACCGGCGCCGGAGCGGCGCGGGTTCGCCGGAGCCGCCCAGCGGTCCCGAACCCTGCCGAGCTTCCCCGGCTTCCCGACGAAGACTGCGAGGGGGTAGGAGGGGGTGAAATCTCGCGGACGATGCGCGCTTCGTTCCGCGCGTGAACGAATCGCGACGTGGTGCGACCGGGCGTGTTTGGTGCACCGTCGTGCAGGTGGAGACGCACCGCACGCACCCACGCACCCACGCACGCACGTGTACATACACACTCTGGCTGGGGATTGTCCACAGGACAAGTATTGGCTGCAGGCAGTCTCTGGCTCCCGCCACCGGATCCTCACCGCGCTGGGTTTAAGAGACGCGAGCACATCAACGGGGGGCGGGGGGGGGGGGCAGAGTGCGGGGATAGCGGGCGGGTCGGGGGGTGGGTTGGGTTAATTTAGGACCAGGGCTGGGGTTAGGGGTTAGTGGGAGAGTTTGAAGTATAGCGCTGGGGTTAGGATTAGGGTGATAGGTTCGGACGAGGCTAATTGGATAGGGGTTTAGGGTAATAGTTGTGAGTTCGTGAGCAGGATAGGTTCACAGTTTGGGGCAGGGTTAGGGGTGCGATCGATTGGTGTCAGGTTCAGATCAGGAGGTGAGGGCCTACCGCGGGAGCCTGGGGCGAGATGCAGTAAGCGAGCCTCGTTGATTTGTGGGGTGGGTTTGTGGGGGGTCGGTTTGTGGGGGTCGGTTTGAGGGGTCGGTTTGTGGGGGTCGGTTTGTTGGGGTCGATTTGCGGGGTCGGTATCGCTGTACCAAGATCTGGTACCGGTATCGTGGTTACCTGCACGGTGTTGATAACACGACACACGCCCAAGGGTTTTGGCGACGGTGGTAGAGGTGGCTGACCCCAGGTAACGCGGTGATAACTGATCGCTCACCAACATCTACCGAAACTAAACAATGATTTTCATTTGAACAAGCGAGGGACCACTGAGCTGGCTGTCGCAAATCATAGCTCAATGAAGTGGTTTATATCATCATCATCATCACCACGTGGAAATGTATAGCAGCAGCAGCAGGATTGAACTCACGACGTACTGCATACCCGGCGATGTAGTTAACACCTCGCCACCACAACCCACCACTACCACCACCACCACCGCCACCGCGTCCCGCCACCCAAGAGGAAGGTAACACCGGGGCAGACACCCGGCAACTCTCGCCCCAAGCGGCGGCGTCGCGGTCGCGCCAAAACCTCGGAGGCGGAGAGAAACCTGCGGGGTGGCGGGCCGGGGTCGGGGGGTCGGGGGGGTCGGGGGTCGCGAACAACGGGTTTCCAACTACCAGGGCCGCCGTTCCGCGTCCACGAGCGTCCGCGGCTCACACCCCGCGCCCCTCTGCCAGATCCCCGAGCCGCTGTGTAATGGCCGCTGCTAAAAACAAAAAAAAAGATTAAATAATTCGGAGGTGCAAATATTTTCGGACGTTTCCATCGTCGTCATCGCGATCGCCGCTAAACCCCCCATGCACATCCCACACACCCCCCCCCCCCCCCCCCCCCCCCCCCCCACGCACGGGAAACCTGGACACGTAGAGGGGTACTCCCCCCCCTCTTCCCTTAGCCCCCCCTCCCCCGTCTGCCACCGTCCCCAAACCCCCCTCGTCAGCCCCCGCGTTTTAAAAGAGGGATGGGGGCGGCCGGGATTTCTTAAAGACAGTCATTCGACTACACGCAAACTACTGAACGTTACTAAACGACGGTGACAACAATAATTATAATTGAAAACGTTTAAAATATATATACGTTCATGCCTGGCCGTCGGAGACATTTAATCAAAACAAAAACTGAAGGTTAAAATTCATTTTTTTAAAGGAAAAAAAAACCGAACGAACGGCTCAAACATTTTCTTTCTTCCCATAATGCAACTCGCCGCCCATTTTGGTTAGTGACTACTTCCTGTTGGCTGTTGCTGCTGCTGATGATGCTGCTGATGCTGCTGCTGATGCTGCTGCTGCTGCTGATGACGCTGCTGATGACGATGCTGCTGATGACGATGGTGCTGCTGATGACGATAGCGCCGTTTGCTGCTACTGCTGCTGATGCCGCTGCCGTTGATGTTACCAATACTGCTGCTGACGCTGCTGCTAATGATGCTGATGGTGCTGCTGCTGCTACTGCTGACGATGCTACGGCTGCCATCGATGATGGCACCTCCTGCTGTCTGGCACAGCTGGGAAGGGGGAAGCCGTTCCGTTTTGGTTCAAAATCCGCGTGGATCCGGAGCGAGCGAGCAAGCGAGTGAGTGAGCGGAGCCGCGGGCTAACGGAGCCGCCCAGGATGACCTCTATCACTCGCGACGCTCTGACGAGAAAGGCCCACTGCCGATGCTCCGACCGGCGTCCTTCCACGTCACCGCAGCCTCAAGGCCCCCCCCCCGCCCCCCACTCCACACCCTCCAACCCCCCCAGCTGGCGCCGGTTACCGTGACGACGCGAGGTCCTCGGACGCCGGTCCTAAAGGGTCACGAGTTCAATTCCCAGGCCGAGGTGGGGGGTTGGAGGCCAAATCAGCTCATCTCAAACATAATCACCGCCGTCGTCGCACGGACATACTGGGCCCCGACATAATAACGTGGAATTTCCACGGATGACGAAGATGAACGCCGCACCGCTTCTTAACTTATATTAACGCGTTTCCGCTCTCTCTCTCTCTCTAAAACTTTTAATTTATCTGGCGGAATATTTTTTTTTATTTAAGTTTTTTTACATTTGGACTGCGGCACCGCCTCCTTGCGAAACGGCGTCATGGGGGGTCTTTAAAGTCCGCCCCCGAGGCAGACGGTTTGAGTGCTGTGGGGGGGGAGGGGGTAAGCGGGAGCCTCGCCAAACTTCATCCACGTCTTCCGGCATTTCCTCCTCCCTCCCTCCTCCATCTCCTCCCTCCTTCCTCCCTCCCTCCTTCCTTCACCGTCCTCGCAGACTCTTCCCGCAAAAATTCTTCTCACCGTTGTCGCCTTGAGGCCGGGGGAGTCAAACTGATGACTCGCTGCTGCTGCTGCTGCTGCCTCCGGGGAGGAGGGGAGGAGGGGGGAGGAAGGGTGGCTCGGAGGGGGGAAATTGGTGAGGAGCGAGGAGTGGGGGGGGGGGGGAGGCGAGTCGATGGTGGAGGGAGTTCCGTTCCGTGGCCGCCACCCCCCAGCGGCCCCTCCCACACTGCCCCCCACCCCCCAGCTTCTGCGTCGTTCCCCCCCCCCCCCCCCACCGTGCCCGCCACCCACCGGCCGGAGCGAAGTTTCACCTCCTCCTCGCTCAGCGTCATTTCAGGAGGATCTTTGGGAGACAAAAGACAAGAAAACGGAGGTGGTCACGGCGGGGACGGGCGGGCGGGCTCCTGTGCGTCCACGGCCGCCCTCAGCCTTGCCCAGACCACCAACCCAAGAGGTTTCGGCAGAACCCGCGCAGAGGGCGGGCGGGCGGGCGGCGCCCCCCATCGCGTGGCCGTAGCGAGCGTCGCCGCCGGGGAGGGAGACAAAGGCGGCCGGGCGTGGTGCTGGCCCACCCCCAGCCCCCTCGCGCGCCGCGCCGGCCTTCATCGGCGCTGCCGCTCGCTAACGGCGCTTGGCCCCGACGGTCCGTGGCGAGGCTATACGGAGGCGGGCGGGCGGGCGGGTGGTCTTTGTCTTTGTGCGTGGGGGAGTGGTGGCGTGGTGGTTAGCGCTGCACTGCGCCACGAACCAGGCAGAGGCCCGAGTTCGAACAACGACGGAGATCGCCAGCGCCGTCGCGCGGCACGTTCGGATGCGCTGCTTCTGCTGCCGTCTGGAACGCTCTTTCCTTCCGACATTTGGAAGCCGCTGGGAGCTGCGATGCGCTTTTAAATCATCCATGAACAACTTATTTCGTTAGCTCGGCGGGGCCCTTACCTGGTTAAAATAAAACGGGGACAGTTTAGTTTTAAGAATTAATTCTTGACTTAAAGCTTTCGTGACGGCAGATCTGGAACACGGTAGGACCAGTACCTCGGCCGTGGCTGATCGTAGTTTTTTATGCGGTGGGCTCACTCGAAATTGATTTCTCGAAGACGATGATGGTACTTTGCAAGCCCACTGGTTATCAACAAAGAATCGCTCATGAAGCCATCCATATATATACGTAGACACAGACACAATTGCAACTGATAAGATGGGTACAAACTCAGCAATCATTGGAAGGACGTTATCAACCAGTTTAAGTCATAATTGGCTGTGACGTTCCCATCGTACCACCTTCCGATGTTAGTTGTGCTTCACGCCCATTTCAAACTTGCCCTTTCACAGGATTCGCACCAACACAGCCACTTTGCACGCCGACCCGTGCGTTGAGCCTCTGCGATCTGCCATTAACATTCTAATCTCCCATGAACATGCTAATCTCCCATTAACATGCTAATTTTCACCTGGCTGCCCTTTGATTGGTGGAAAACCAACCACAGTCGGGTTGGGCTGCCCACCACTCACGCTGTCATTGGCTGCTGATATTTGGGCGACGCCCATTTCAAACCCCTTATAAACAGTTTGCCTTGGAAGCTCACCCCACCTCTTTTCCTGAAGACGACCGCTTGTGTTGCGATCGAAAAGTCATAGTTTTTTTCTTTGTTATTTTCTTTGAACCTATCTATGTGACTTTACTGAAAGACCCAAGAATATTAGTTTATAATTATTTCGGTTTCCGACCCCTGGCATTTTTGTGTGTTTCTTTTCGTTGTCTTTCCAGCGCACCGCCGACTGGCACGGTTGGCTATGTACGGTGCGAAGTTCAACACTGCCCATATACTAACACGACCCATAGACTAACACTACCCATAGACTAACACTGGCCATATACTAACACTACACATAGACTCAACACTGTCCATAGACTCAACACTGCCCATATACTAACACTGCCCATAGACTAACACTGCCCATAGACTAACACTGCCCATAGACTAACACTGCCCATAGACTAACACTGCCCATAGACTAACACTGCCCATAGACTAACACTGCCCATAGACTAACACTGCCCATAGACTCACATTGCCCATAGACTAACACTGCCCACAGACTCAACACTACCCATAGACTCAACACTACCCATTGACTCAACACTGCCCAAAGACTAACACTACCCATAGACTCACACTGCCCATAGACCAACACTGCCCATAGAACAACACTGCCCATAGACTCAACACTGCCCATAGACTCAACACTACCCATAGACTAACACTGCCCACAGACTCAACACTGCCCATAGACTAACACTGCCCATAGACTCACACTGCCCATAGACTCACACTGCCCACAGACTCAACACTGCCCATAAACTCAACACTGCCCATAGACTCAACACTGCCCATAGACTCAACACTGCCCATAGACTCAACACTGCCCATAGACTCAACACTGCCCATAGACTAACACTACCCATAGACTTAACACTACCCAAAGACTAACAATGCCCAAAGACTCACACTGCCCATAGAACAACACTGCCCATAGACCAACACTGCCCATAGACTCAATACTGCCCATAGACTCAACACTGCCCATAGTCTCAACACTACCCATAGACTCACACTTCCCATAGACTCAACACTGCCCATAGACTAACACTGCCCAAAGACTAACACTGCCCATAGACTCAACACTACCCATAGACTCAACACTACCCATAGACTCAACACTGCCCATAGACTAACACTGCCCATAGACTCAACACTGCCCATAGACTCAACACTGCCCATAGACTCAACACTACCCATAGACTCAACACTGCCCATAGACTAACACTACCCATAGACTCAACACTACCCATAGACTGCCCATAGACTAACACTGCCCATAGACTAACACTACCCATAGACTGCCCATAGACTAACACTGCCCATAGACTCAACATTACCCATAGACTCAACACTGCCCATAGACTAACACTGCACCATAGACTCAACACTGCCCTTAGACTCAACACTGCCCATAGACTCAACACTGCCCTTAGACTCAACACTACCCATAGACTCAACACTGCCAATAGACTCAACACTACCCATAGACTAACACTGCCCATAGACTAACACTGCACCATAGACTCAACACTGCCCATAGACTCAACACTGCCCATAGACTCAACACTGCCCTTAGACTCAACACTACCCATAGACTCAACACTGCCAATAGACTCAACACTACCCATAGACTCAACACTACCCATAGACTCAACACTGCCCATAGACTCAACACTGCCAATAGACTCAACACTACCCATAGACTCAACACTGCCCATAGACTCAACACTACCCACAGACTCAACACGGCACCACCGATTAGCACGGTTGGCTACGTATGGTGCGAAAGAAGTCCAACAATGCCCTCAGCCTTGTCTAGACCACCGTCTCAACAGAGCTGAACGCGTGCGCGCGTTGTGCGAGTGTGCCAGTTGGGGCCGTGAACTACGAACCCAGAGCCTCGAGTTCGACTCCCGCTTGTGACCAATTACAGTGCCAACAATTTTAAACAGGTCCTAGGCCTTCCCCTAGGTCGACTCGACCTGAAAATGAGTAGGTGGCGTGCTGTGTGTAAACAACGTCAGCACTGGGGAGACAAAGGCGGCCGAGCGTGGTGCTAGCCCCCCCACCCCCTCCCGCACATGCTGTGTGCTTGTGTGTGCGTGTGTGTGTGCATGTGTGTGCGTGTGTGCATGTGTGTGTGCGTGTGTGCATGTGTGTGTGCGTGTGTGCATGTGTGTGTGCGTGCGCTTGCCTGTGCGTGTGTTTGTGCGTGTGCGGGTTTGTGTGTGTGTGACTGTGCGTGCCTGTGCATGTGTGTGCATGTGTGTCTGTGCGTGTCTGTGCGAGTCTGTGCACGTGTGTGCCTATGCATATATGTGCGTGTGCGTGTCTGTGTGTGTCTGTGCGTGTGTGTCTGTGCGTGTGTGTCTGTGCGTGTGTGTCTGTGCGTGTGTGTGTGTCTGTGCGTGTGTGTGTGTCTGTGCGTGTGTCTGTGCGTGTGTGTGTGTCTGTGCGTGTGTGTCTGTGCGTGTGTGTGTGTCTGTGCGTGTGTGTGTGTGTCTGTGCGTGTGTCTGTGCGTGTGTGCGTATGTGCGTGTGTCACACCTGTCCGGCAGATGCGGCCGAAGTGACGAACTGCAGGCCGGGGTTCGTCGCCGTGACGACCGTGCCGGGCATCATGGGAACTGCCGGTCGGGGGAAGAGACAAGGAAGAACAATCATGGACACGCCGTGAAGGTCCCTCCCTCGCGAGGATTTCCTGTGCACACGCATTTTCTCAACCGGTTCCGGGCCGCCCCTACGTCGACTCGGCCTCAAATGAGTACACCTGGTGTGGTGTGTAAACATCGCCACTGGCTGGGCTGGCCACCCAGCCAATCGTGCGTCGTGCTGGCCTTCATAGGTGTTCCCTAACAGCACTTGCCCCAACAGTTTGTTGAAGGCTATATGGAGAATCTTTGTTGTGTGTGCGTGCATTCGTGTGTGTGTGTGCGTGCATTCGTGTGTGTGTGTGTGTGTGCGTGCATTTCGTGTGTGTGTGTGCGCGTGCATTCGTGTGTGTGTGTGCGCGTGCATTCGTGTGTGTGTCTGTGCGTGCATTCGTGTGTGTGTGTGCGCGTGCATTCGTGTGTGTGTGTGCATTCGTGTGTGTGTGTGCGTGCATTCGTGTGTGTGTGTGTGCATTTTGTGTGTGTGTGTGTGCGCGCATTCGTGTGTGTGCGCGTTCATGTGTGTGCGTCCGTGTGTGTGCGTGCATGTGCGTGCATGTGCGAGTGCTTGCGTTCGTGTGCGTGCGTTTGTGTGTGTGCGTGTGCGTGTACGTGTTTGTGCGTGTATACGTGCGTGTGTGTGAATTCGTGTGTGTGCGTGTGTGTGCGTGTGTGCGTGTGTGTGTGCGCGCGTGTGTGTGCATGTGTGGGTGTGTGTGCGTGGCAGTGAGGAAGCCACGTGGTGGAATCTGTCACTGCCAATACTAATGGTGAGCGGCCAATACTACACCTCTCCCCCCATACACAAAGACGCCCCATATAGCCTTTAACAGCCTATACGACAAAGATGCACCCATTTAGCCCCGTTCCTAGACAAACAGACCCCTACACACACACATAACTATCTACACACAGAACACCCTACACACACACACACACAGAACCACCTACACACAGAACACCCTACACACACACACAGAACCTACCACACACACATCAACCCCTACGCACACACACATAACCCCCTACACACACGCAGACACATAACCCCCTACACACACACACACAGAACCCCCTACACACACAGAACCCCCTACACACAGAACCCCCAACGCACACACACAGAACCCCCAACACCCGCCATTCACCACTAAGTGATGGTGACGTCACCGTGCCAGGCCAGGTGCACTTGGAGGCTACCACATGAAGTGTCGAAGGCTCGCTGCTGACAAGAGGTCTCGGGACAGGTGTCATGGGTTGGATGACTGAGATGACCGGTAGATGCACCAGCCGTACCCCCCCCCACTGTGCCAACTTGCTGCTCTTCATCAGCCCGGCGCTCCGCTCGTTGTTGTGAGCGTCGCTCCTCCGCCCTCCGTTGTTGTTGGAGGGCGACTGCCTGCAACTGCCCAATAGCGTCCTTCACGAGCCTCCTCCACAGAGGCCGATCTTGACACCGCTGGTACCAGTTATCGGCAAGTCCACTCAGCTCCACGTCCTCCTGTACCACATCACTCCATCTCTTCTCTCGCCCGTGCCGCGCCCGTTTAGCTCCCTCAATCCGGCCGAACAAAAGCTGTTTCGGCATGCGGTGGCTGGGCATGTGGGCTACATGACCCAGCCATCGCAGCCTTGCCCGCCGGAGGAGCTCACCGATGGGACCTTGCCCAGATCTTTAAAGGATTTGTGAGCTCCTCACACAATCCAGTCTGGTTAAACCCAAGATGGATCGAAGGCAGGCCAGCCTAAATGTTTCTAACCGGCGAAGATGTTCCATTAGGGGGGTCCACGTTTCGCAAGCGTAGAGAAGGGAGGGAATGACCGTGGCCGAGAAGACCTGAAGCTTAGTGCGGAGCGACAGACCAGGTAGCTTCCACACAGCGTTACGCAACCAATGAAAAGATATTGCCGCTCAACTGATTCGGAGTGAGACCTCTGCTGTTAAACTGGAGCCGGTCATAAGCACACTGCCCAGGTATGGGAAACTCTCCACTCGCTCCACAACTGCCCCATTACCGATTGGGAGTTGTGGGGGTGTAGTGTCCGATGGTACAAAATACCCAGGCAGGTGCTTAGTTTTGGTGGGGCTGATGGTAAGGCCCCACCTCTTAGTGGCACGCTCCAGTCTCAGCAGCAGCGTCTCCAACTCCTCCTCTGAATGAGCAGCTATTACCAAATCATCAGCATACATAACGTGGTTGAGCAATAGGGAGCCATCCCTTGACCGCACCCGGGCATCGATTAGCCTCCCATTATATCTGTACCATATGGAGATTCCCCCGGTACAGCTATTGAAGGCTTCACGAACTACGTGGTTAAAATAGATGTTAAATAATGTGGGAGCCAGAGGACACCCCTGTCGCACCCCAAGGTGTACAGGGAATGGCTCTGACTCCCGGCCACGTAGTTTTACCCGGGCCCGCTCACCATCATGAAGGTCCTTAATGATTGTGAGCAGAGGGTCAGGTACTCCAAAAGCACGAAGAACCTACACACACACACACACTTACACCTACACACACACTTACACCCACACACACAATGACACCCACACACACACTGACACCTACACTCACACTTACACCTACACACACTGACACCCACACACACACACTTACACCTACACCCACACCTACACACACACACTTACACAGACACACACTTACACCTACACACACACACTTACACCTACACCTACACACTTACACACACACACACTTACACGTACACCTACACACACACTTACACCTACACCTACACACACTGACACCCACACACACTGACACCTACACACACACACACTGACACCCACACACACCTACACCTACACACACTTACACCTACACATGTACACACACTTACACCTACACACACACTTACACCTACACACACACACCTACACACACACCTACACACACACACACTTACACCTACACACACACTTACACCTACACACACACACCTACACACACACTTACACCTACACACACACACCTACACCTACACACACACCTACACACACTTACACCTACACACACACACCTACACCTACACACACCTACACACACACACACACCTACACACACACTTACACCTACACACCTACACACACACACCTACACCTACACACACACCTACACACACTTACACCTACACACACACACTTACACCTACACACACACACCTACACACTTACACACACACACACACCTACACCTACAGACACACACCTACACACACCTACACCCACCTACACACACACTGACACCTACACACACACACCTACACCTACACACACACACCTACACACACCTACACCTACACTGACTGTGCCCCTCTCACTCACCCCCCTGCAGGAAGGCTGCGGTGGCGTGTGGCCCCCCGCCCTGGTAGTGGAGGAGGCCCGGGCCCAGCAGCGTGTGGGCGGTGTGGGGGGGAGCGGGGGGAGGGGGCCCCTGCGGTGGGGGGCCAGGGGGCGGGGCGGGGCCCGGCGAGCCCCACACCGAGTCGTCCAGAGCAGGGCGCTTGGCTGACGGAGACAGAGGGCCCGACTGCGGGGACACGGGGACAGGGAGACGCCACGGGGACACGGGGACAGGGAGACGCCAGGGGGACACGGGGGACAGGGAGACGCCAGGGGGACACGGGGACACGGGGACAGGGAGACGCCAGGGGGACACGGGGACAGGGAGACGCCAGGGGGACACGGGGACAGGGAGACACGGGGACACGGGGACAGGGAGACGCCACGGGGACAGGGAGACGCCACGGGGACACGGGGACAGGGAGACACGCCAGGGGGACAGGGAGACACGGGGACACAGGGACACGGGGACAGGGAGACACGGGGACAGGGAGACAGGGAGACACGGGGACACGGGGACACGGGGACAGGGAGACACGGGGACACGGGGACAGGGAGACACGGGGACAGGGAGACGCCAGGGGGACACGGGGACAGGGAGACACGGGGACAGGGAGACAGGGAGACACGCCAGGGGGACAGGGAGACACGGGGACACAGGGACACGGGGACAGGGAGACACGGGGACAGGGAGACAGGGAGACACGGGGACACGGGGACAGGGGAGACGCCACGGGGACACGGGGACAGGGAGACACCAGGGGGACAGGGAGACACGGGGACACGCCAGGGGGACAGGGAGACACGGGGACACAGGGACACGGGGACAGGGAGACGCCAGGGGGACACGGGGACAGGGAGACGCCAGGGGGACACGGGGACAGGGAGACGCCAGGGGGACACGCCAGGGGGACAGGGAGACGCCAGGGGGACAGGGGAGACACGGGGACAAGGAGACAGGGAGACACGGGGACAAGGAGACAGGGAGACACGGGGACACACCAGGGGGACAGGGGAGACACGGGGACAGGGAGACAGGGAGACACGGGGACACGCCAGGGGGACAAGGAGACACGGGGACACGGGGACAGGGGAGACGCCAGGGGGACACGGGGACAAGGAGACACGGGGACACGCCAGGGGGACAAGGAGACACGGGGACAAGGAGACACGGGGACACGCCAGGGGGACAAGGAGACACGGGGACACGGGGACAAGGAGACACGGGGACACGCCGGGGGGACACGGAGACAAGGAGACAGGGAGACACGGGGACACGCCAGGGGGACAAGGAGACAGGGGGACACGGGGACACGGGGACAAGGAGACACGGGGACACGGGGACACGCCAGGGGGACAAGGAGACAGGGGGACACGGGGACACGGGGACAAGGAGACAGGGGGACACGGGGACACGCCAGGGGGACAAGGAGACACGGGGACACGGGGACAGGGGAGACGCCAGGGGGACACGGGGACAAGGAGACACGGGGACACGCCAGGGGGACAAGGAGACACGGGGACACGGGGACAAGGAGACACGGGGACACGCCGGGGGGACACGGAGACAAGGAGACAGGGAGACACGGGGACACGCCAGGGGGACAAGGAGACAGGGGGACACGGGGACACGGGGACAGGGAGACACGGGGACAGGGGAGACGCCAGGGGGACACGGGGGTGGGGGGTGGGGGGGGAGGGACATGTGGGGACACGGCGGGGATAGGCACGTGGGGACAGAGGGACACAGAGACACCAAGAGACACAGACACACGCGACATTGTAGACACACGCAGAAACGCACGCGGGAAGAGGCACAGAGACAGGCAGACACACACACACACACGGACACACCGACACATGGACACAATCAGCAGACACACACACACGGACACACGTACACACCGACACATGGACACAATCGGCAGACACACACACGCATCAAACCAGTTACAATGGCCGTGCTTGCGGGCTCCCTTGGGCAGCAGTAGCACACCGACAACCACCGACCAGCAGTCTCACTCCGTAACACGCGCACGCAAAGACAAAGATCCCCCGCGTAGCCTTAACGGACCATCGGGGCAAGTGCCGCTGGCGAGTAGCAGCGAGCACCTATGAAGGCCGGCGCTGTGGCACGCGAGGGGGTGGGTGGCCAGCACCACGCCCGGCCGCCTTTGTCTCCCCGGAGGCGATGTTTTACACGCAGCGCCGGGTACTCATTTGAGGCCGAGTCGACCTAGGGGAGGCCCAGGTACCGGTTCAGATAATCGCCACCGGTGTTGGCCGTGAGCGCGAATCGAACCCGGGTCGCCGGGTTCGTAGCGCGGCGCTAACCGCTGCGCCACCGCTCCCCGCACCAACGCAGGGGCGGACAACATTCGCCGCCAAGCGGCGGTGACGTCAACCGCGGCCCCTTGTGCCAGGCTAGGTGCACCGAGGCCGCCACGTGAAGCGTCGAAGGCTCTCTCGCTGCTGGGCAGGAGGAGGAGGAGGAGGGCACGGGACAGACCCAGGTGGTGCCATGGATTGACGGGACTTCAGGACGACCGGCAGATGCACCGCACACGCACGGCCACACACACAAGACACACGGACGGACACACACACAAGACACACGGTCGGACACACGGACGGACACACACACACACAAGACACACGGTCGGCACGGACACACACACACAAGACACACGGACGGACACACACACACACGCACGGCACAGACACACACACACGCACGGCAGTCGGGGAGAGGGGACGCCAAGAGGGGGTCGTGTGAGCCATGCGTCGCGGACACGATGGGGTCAACCCGCGCCCGGGCGAGCGGGCGAGCGAGCGAGCGAGCGGGCGGGCGAGCGGGCGGGCGAAGGAGCGGGCAGACTCTGCGATGCGAGCGACGGGGTGGGTGGGTGGGTGGGGGGGCGAGCAGGGCGACCGAATTCTCCAGATTATCACTGCTCACGGCCCCGGTATAAATAAATCCAGCAGGTGGATAGTCCACAATGCTATGGTGGGCACCCAGAGGCGAGGTTAGCGATACGGTGGGGGGGGTAGAGACTCATACCCAGCGTCCGTCCGGGGTGGACAATTTGACGATTCAGTTTACGCGGGTCGCTCTCTCTCGTTCTCTCTCTCTCTCACTCTCTCTCCCACTATCTCTCTCTCGTTCTCTCTCTCGTTCTCTCTCTCGTTCTCTCTCTCGTTCTCTCACTCTCTCGTTCTCTCACTCTCTCGTTCTCTCTCCCACTATCTCCCTCTCGTTCTCTCTCTCGTTCTCTCTCTCTCTCACTCTCTCTCCCACTATCTCTCTCTCGTTCTCTCTCTCGTTCTCTCTCTCGTTCTCTCTCTCGTTCTCTCACTCTCTCGTTCTCTCACTCTCTCGTTCTCTCTCCCACTATCTCCCTCTCGTTCTCTCTCTCGTTCTCTCTCTCGTTCTCTCACTCTCTCGTTCTCTCTCCCACTCTCTCTCACTCTCTCTCTCGTTCTCTCTCTCTCTGTTGTTCTCTCTCTCTCGTTCTCTCTCCCGCTCTCTCTCTCACTCTCTCTCGTTCTCTCTCTCTCTCTCGTTCTCTCACTCTCTCTCGTTCTCTCTCTCTCTCGTTCTCTCTCTCTCTCACTCACTCTCTCTCTCACTCTCTCTCGTTCTCTCTCTCTCTCGTTCTCTCTCTCTCTCACTCACTCTCTCTCTCACTCTCTCTCGTTCTCTCTCTCTCTCGTTCTCTCTCTCTCACTCTCTCTCTCGTTCTCTCTCTCTCTCACTCACTCTCTCTCTCACTCTCTCTCTCGTTCTCTCTCTCTCTCACTCACTCTCTCTCTCACTCTCTCTCGTTCTCTCTCTCTCTCGTTCTCTCTCGTTCTCTCTCTCTCTCGTTCTCTCTCTCTCACTCTCTCTCTCGTTCTCTCTCTCTCTCACTCACTCTCTCTCTCACTCTCTCTCGTTCTCTCTCTCTCTCGTTCTCTCTCTCTCTCACTCTCTCTCTCGTTCTCTCTCTCTCTCGTTCTCTCTCTCTCTCGTTCTCTCTCTCTCACTCTCTCTCTCGTTCTCTCTCTCGTTCTCTCTCTCTCTCGTTCTCTCTCTCCCGCTCTCTCTCTCGTTCTCTCTTGCTCTTGTTCTCTCTCTCTCACTTTCTCACTCTCTCACTCGTTCTCTCTCTCCCGCTCTCTCACTTTCTCTCCCGTTCTCCCGCTCTCTCTCTCTCTCTGCCGCCGGGGGCCTGCGTGCCTCTACGCGAGAGTTCACCGTGGCACACAGTACGGCTACACGACACCGGGGAGATTGCTTTCGGCGCTGCCCTGGGGCTGACTGAACGTCGCTCCGCCGCTCCAAGCAGCAGCAGCAGCAGCAGCTGCAGCTGCGCCCGCCCGCCCGCCCGCCCGCCCGCCAGAGCGCACGGCCAGGTTCGGGCCCCGCTCAACTCGCAAGACTCCGGCGAGAGATGATCCGGTCAAAAAGGATTTGGCCGAATTAACGAAACACAAGACGTTCAGTACGATCGCTTCCGTTTTTCTAACAATTATCATTTAGCGAAGCTGACCGTGAACGGCGGGTGGGCCGGGTATGAAGGGGGCGCGGGTTGGGGGTTGCCGAGGGGGAGGGGAGGCCGCGTGCCCGGGGGCCTCGAGGTCAGTAACAAACCACGAGGTGTGAACACGACTCCACGTGAGCACGCGGGGGGGGCGGGGGGGGAGGGGGCCGATGGGGAGGTCGCCGTGGTGACAGCGCGATGGTGGGACGCTCCGTCGTCGTCACGTTCATCGTCGTCATCGGTTATCGCCATCACTGTCACTAGCAACACTAGTCAACGTTATCACTGTCACTAGCAACACTTGTCAACGTTATCACTGTCACTAGCAACACTAGTCAACGTTATCACTGTCACTAGCAACACTAGTCAACGTTATCACTGTCACTAGCAACACTTGTCAACGTTATCACTGTCACTAGCAACACTTGTCAACGTTATCACTGTCACTAGCAACACTTGTCAACGTTATCACTGTCACTAGCAACACTTGTCAACGTTATCACTGTCACTAGCAACACTAGTCAACGTTATCATCGTTATCATCGTCCTTGTCGTCAACGTCGTCACCGTCGTCACTATCAACACTTGTCACCGTCGTCACAATCCAACACTTGTCGTCACCGTTGTCACCGTCGTCACAATCAACACTTGTCGTCACCGTCGTCACCGTCGTCACAATCAACACTTGTCATCACCGTCGTCACAATCAACACTTGTCATCACCGTCGTCACCGTCGTCACAATCAACACTTGTCGTCACCGTCGTCACAATCAACACTTGTCGTCACCGTCGTCACCATCGTCACAATCAACACTTGTCGTCACCGTCGTCACAATCAACACTTGTCATCACCGTCGTCACAATCAACACTTGTCGTCACCGTCGTCACCATCGTCACAATCAACACTTGTCGTCACCGTCGTCACAATCAACACTTGTCATCACCGTCGTCACCATCAACACTTGTCATCACCGTCGTCACCGTCGTCACAATCAACACTTGTCGTCACCGTCGTCACAATCAACACTTGTCATCACCGTCGTCACAATCAACACTTGTCGTCACCGTCGTCACAATCAACACTTGTCATCACCGTCGTCACAATCAACACTTGTCGTCACCGTCGTCACTGTCGTCACAATCAACACTTGTCGTCACCGTCGTCACAATCAACACTTATCGTCATCGTCGTCACAATCAACACTTGTCGTCACCGTCGTCACCATCAACACTTGTCGTCACCGTCGTCACCGTCGTCACAATCAACACTTGTCGTCACAATCAACACTTATCGTCACAATCAACACTTGTCGTCACCGTCGTCACAATCAACACTTGTCGTCACCGTCGTCACAATCAACACTTGTCGTCACCGTCGTCACAATCAACACTTGTCATCACTGTCGTCACAATCAACACTTGTCGTCACCGTCGTCACCGTCGTCACAATCAACACTTGTCGTCACCGTCGTCACTATCAACACTTGTCGTCACCGTCGTCACAATCAACACTTGTCATCACCGTCGTCACAATCAACACTTGTCATCACCGTCGTCACAATCAACACTTGTCATCACCGTCGTCACAATCAACACTTGTCGTCACCGTCGTCATCGTCGTCACAATCAACACTTGTCGTCACCGTCGTCACCATCAACACTTGTCGTCACCGTCGTCACCGTCGTCACAATCAACACTTGTCGTCACAATCAACACTTATCGTCACAATCAACACTTGTCGTCACCGTCGTCACAATCAACACTTGTCGTCACCGTCGTCACAATCAACACTTGTCATCACTGTCGTCACAATCAACACTTGTCGTCACCGTCGTCACCGTCGTCACAATCAACACTTGTCGTCACCGTCGTCACTATCAACACTTGTCGTCATCGTCGTCACAATCAACACTTGTCATCACCGTCGTCACAATCAACACTTGTCATCACTGTCGTCACAATCAACACTTGTCGTCACCGTCGTCACAATCAACACTTGTCATCACTGTCGTCACAATCAACACTTGTCCTCACCGTCGTCACTATCAACACTTGTCGTCACAATCAACACTTGTCGTCACAATCAACACTTGTCGTCACTGTCGTCACAATCAACACTTGTCGTCACCGTCGTCACAATCAACACTTGTCATCACTGTCGTCACAATCAACACTTGTCGTCACCGTCGTCACCGTCGTCACAATCAACACTTGTCGTCACCGTCGTCACTATCAACACTTGTCGTTATCGTCGTCACAATCAACACTTGTCATCACCGTCGTCACAATCAACACTTGTCATCACTGTCGTCACAATCAACACTTGTCGTCACCGTCGTCACAATCAACACTTGTCATCACTGTCGTCACAATCAACACTTGTCGTCACCGTCGTCACTATCAACACTTGTCGTCACAATCAACACTTGTCGTCACAATCAACACTTGTCGTCACTGTCGTCACAATCAACACTTGTCGTCACCGTCGTCACAATCAACACTTGTCATCACTGTCGTCACAATCAACACTTGTCGTCACCGTCGTCACCGTCGTCACAATCAACACTTGTCGTCACCGTCGTCACTATCAACACTTGTCGTCACCGTCGTCACAATCAACACTTGTCGTCATCGTCGTCACAATCAACACTTGTCGTCATCGTCGTCGCAATCAACACTTGTCATCACTGTCGTCACAATCAACACTTGTCGTCACCGTCGTCACAATCAACACTTGTCATCACTGTCGTCACAATCAACACTTGTCGTCACCGTCGTCACCGTCGTCACAATCAACACTTGTCGTCACCGTCGTCACTATCAACACTTGTCGTCACCGTCGTCACAATCAACACTTGTCGTCATCGTCGTCACAATCAACACTTGTCGTCATCGTCGTCGCAATCAACACTTATCGTCACCATCAACACTTGTCGTCACCGTCGTCACAATCAACAATTGTCGTCACCGTCGTCACAATCAACACTTGTCGTCACCGTCTTCACCACCGTCACCGTCCCGAGGCTCTCGTCCCCACATGGCAGCGCTCCGTGAGTTCACTCCGAGCCCCCGGGGCCGAGCGTGCGGCTCGTGGGGGGCTCTAGGAGCGAACTCAGGCGGTGGGGGGGGGGGGCGAGGGTGTGGGGGGGGGCGGGGGTGGGGGGGGGCGGATTTCTCAAAGATTAAAATTTCTCCCAAATATTCCACCGCCTCTCCCGCTCCCTTTCCTCTTCGCCGTTCAATTTTGGATTTTGTTTTTTTTTCACCGGATTCCTCGTCCTAATTTCGGTGACCCCCTCTCTAGCGGGAAGGGGGTGGGGGGTAGTGGTGAGGGGAGGTGGTGGGGGGAAGGTGGGGGGTGGGGGGTAGTGGTGAGGGGAGGTGGTGGGGGGAAGGTGGGGGGAAGGTGGGGGTCACTTGTCCCGGTCTCTTGGGACTTCTCGCCCTGGGTTCACAGAAATGATCAACCGCCAGTTTGGCTCGCGACCTCCCCGCCTCCTCCTCACCGCCCCCCCCCCCCCCCACCGATCGCGAGCAAAACCACCACCACCAGCACCACCACCAGCACCACCACCACCACCAGCACCACCAGCACCACCAGTACCAGCACCACCCCGCGACCTCTGCATCGAACCCACCGTCGCACGACCACAACAACGCCGCCGCCGCCGCCGCCGCCGCCGCCGCGGTGTGGGAAATGAAATTAACGTCACGATTGAAGTGACGTCAGCCGCCATCCCATGTCTCGCACTCGGGTTCAATTCCTGGTGCGGTTTTTGTTTTTGTTGTTTCACCCCCAACCCCCCCCCCCCCATGTCAATTAAAATTTCGCCGGATTGGTGCCACGTGTAGGGCGATATTGTGGAGGTGCGACCCGGGTGCCGGAACGGGTGGGCCAAATTCGTTTGGATTGAGTCATCTGGAGCTCCTTGCTCCCGTACACGTAAACTTTAGAACCGGCCATCACGAACCCGGTCCCCAACCCTGACCCTAACCTAACCCTGACCCTAACCCAACCCTGACCCTAACCCAACCCTGACCCTAACCCAACCCTGACCTTAACCTAACCCTGACCTTAACCTAACCCTGACCCTAACCCAACCCTGACCCTAACCTAACCCTGACCCTAACCCAACCCTGACCCTAACCCTAACCATGATTTTAAACTAAGCCTGACCTAAACCTGGCCCAATCCTACCCCCTGGGTGTGAAACGTATTCCTATTTTTTCATACTTTGATACTGGCTGCTCACCCCCGAGCTATCAATGCCCTGAGAGTGGCACTGTCCTTGTGCTGGTCACCTTTTGGCGTCCTCTGTTCTGACACCGGTGGCGAGACCAGGCCATCAAGAGAAGGCTGCGTGCCGTCTCTGGACACTGCCATACATTATTATTATCATCGGAGCCGTGTTTGTTTGCATGCTTGTCTCAAGCACTGTGTGTGTGCGCGTGGTTGACGCAGCGCAGTAAAAACCCTGCGGATTGCGAGTAAACTTGGCCTGCGAGTGTTTTGCAAGACGAGCAAAAATTTTTTAACTAAATATTAATTTGATAAACGAGCGAGGGTCTCGCAATACGAGCAGCAGTAGTACGTGTACACGCTTTGTACTGCCGAGCATCACGTGATCACACAACTGATATACGAGTGCTTTGATGTACGAGTGCTTTGGATTACAAACACGTTTCTGGAAGAAATTATGCTCCTCGCAATCCAAGGTTTTACTGTAGTAGATTCCTTGCAAGAGGTATCCATATTGGGTGTTTGAAGACCTTAACACCCCTCCTGGTTTTATTATTATTATTTTATTATTATTATCGCCAGAAAAATGGGGTAAAAATCGACGATTATTTTTCCTACCCACTCAAAAAACGGAGTTCTATTTATTTATTTATTTAAACCCCCCTCGCTCCTCCCCCCCCCGATCAAAAAACGGAGTGGCAGGCGTCGCTCGTCACGACCGGACCCTGAACCTTGACCCCTAACCCCTACGTCTGACCTATCAACCCTAAACCGTGTTCCTCGCCCGATTCGTTACCACCCACCCCCCCCCCCCCCCAGAATAACAACAAACCTATCCCCCCCGCCTCCCCCTTGAACCCTGACTCTCGGGACTTAATCCTGAACCCTACAACCCCATTCAACCCCTGACCCCCCCCCACGGCCAGGTCACCACCACCACCACCACCACCCCCCCCCTAGCGTAACAAATTCCACGCGGCCGCTGAGCATGGGGGGAGTGCGGGCCGCCGTTTCGACGACGCGGGAGGGCGGCTGCCCGTCAGCTTCTTAACCGAGAGCAAAACAACAAAAAAAAGGCCGAGAGGTGAAAGGTCAAAGTACCGGGTCAAAGGTTGCCTGGAGCGGTCGCTTCAGTGATTGGGCAGTCGGCTAGCCAGCCAGCGAGCACATGACGGCAACGGGCCAATGGGAAGCGAGCGTTGAGAAGTGGGGGGAGGGGGGGGGATGGAGGGAGGGAGGGAGGGTAGGGGGGTGGGGAAGGTGAAGGGGGGGTGGGGGGGGGGCGTGAGGGGAGGGGGGAAAGTGGGGGGAGGGGGGGGAGGGGGCAAAGCACAGGGAACAAAAACCAGCAAGCAGAGGTGCGTTGTGCAACACCCAGCAGTGCATTGTGGGTAGATACAGGGAGGGAAAAACAAAAATAGAAAATGAAAAATAATTAATTGGATTAGATGCGTTTAAAGAATAATAATAAAACTCTTAATTTGTACAGCCTGCTATCGTAATAAAGCAAGTACAAAAAAAACGTATTCATGCAGTGATAATAATAAGAAAAATCATCATTTTGTGACTTGTACAGCAATACCCCTTTTCCACTGCCATACCCGTGCCAGGCCAGCACAGGTGCCTTCATGGCACGGGTGGTTGTTCTACTGCGCACGTTCTGCCAAACCGCGCTACGCTGGTCTCACGGGGAAGACGTCTCTACATGTTTCGGGGGGGGGGCCAAGCAGGGCCAAGCAGGGCCAAGCAGGGCCAGGGGGGCGGGGCTAACGACACGTTGTTCACCGTGCGTGTGTGACGTCGGTTGGTACGCGCCCACGCGCGTCCCCGCTCGTTCACCCACGCGCGTGTGACACGTCGGCTCGGCTCGGCACGGGAGGCGCAGTGGAAAAGGGGTATCCGGACTCTGGAGCTCAGATCTACACAAAGCATCACAGGCTTCACAAGGATAGACCAGCTCCCAAGGCGACTCAATCAAACGCAGCTTTCTACGCTCGCACGCTCACACACGCACACGCAAGCAAGCAAGCGCGGGAAGACGCGACCCAAAAAACCCTCGCCGCAACGCCTCTCCCTTCACTCGGGGAGCTTCCTGAGAATGGATTTTTCTTAACGGTCTCACTTCCATCGATTCCTCCGATTGCCGTGGGTCAAATCTTGCAATCAAAACGTCGCCCGCTTCCCGTCGTCCACAATCAATGCCGCATTTTGGCACGCGTGCTCAGGTCGGGTGACAATGGACGCCCGTATCAAAATCGGCATCAATTTACCAATTGCTTCGCCGCTTGAAAGCAATCCGCATTCTGCGTGGACGACTCATTATTGGACGACTCATTATTCGTGCAGGTCAAGAAACGCCGCGGTCCCCACACCGGGGCGTCTACTCGAACAAAACGCCGGGGCCGCGTGTCCCAGGCGCCGCTGACGCACTTCTCAAAGACCGCGAGTTCAACGGAGTTGCTGATAAAAGCGTTGTGTTTTGAAAAAAAAAAAACTTTTTTAAAGGAGTTATTTTTTTTTTTTTGGAGTGTGTGCCGTGCGTTTAGATTTGTTGTCGTTCTCCCCCCCCCCCCGCCCCCCCCCCCCCCCGCCCCGCCGCCGCCCCCCTCCTCGCGCCTCCGACGACGACCCACGGTCGGCTACGTACGGCACGCGCGAAGGAAGTTCAACTTGTACTCACACGCGTACAAAGCGACCGTGAGGACGCCACGCGCACCGTTATATATTTCGCCGCGTTCACACGGCAGCAGCAATCGTCGTCCTGCAACTCCACTCCCCCCCCTCCCTACTGGTAGCAGACTAACGCGTAGGGACAGCTGCCACTGGGGGTGCCCCTAGGCTAGGCCACACAGCAGCAGCAATCATCGCTACCGCTACTGGCAGACTAACGCGTAGGGACAGCTGCCACTGGGGGTGCCCCCTAGGCTAGGCCACACAGCAGCAGCAATCATCGCTACCGCTACTGGCAGACTAACGCGTAGGGACAGCTGCCACTGGGGGTGCCCCTAGGCTAGGCCACACAGCAGCAGCAGCCATCGCTACCGCTACTTGCAGACTAACGCGTAGGGACAGCTGCCACTGGGGGTGCCCCTAGGCTAGGCCACACAGCAGCAGCCATCATCGCTACCGCTACTGGCAGACTAACGCTCCCAGGCAATAATGTGGGGGCCGCGTGTTCAGTTCTTTTGAGTTGGTGGTCTAGACAAGGCCGGAGGGAACGAGCGGCGAGTCGGCTCGCGTCTTTTGTCATTGGGTCGCGTCTTCCGTAAAACAAGAGCCGACAGCAACAATAGCACCACGACCACAACCACCACAACCACCACAGCCATCACAACCACCACCACAACCATCACAACGACCACCACGGCGACCACAACCACCACCACAACCACCACAACCACCACAACCACCACGGCCACAACAACCACCACCATGGCCACCACAACCACCACCATGGCCACCACAAACACCACCACAACCACCTCAACCACCACGGCGATCACAACCACCACCACAACCACCATGGCCAACATAACCACCACCGCGGCCACCACAACCACCACCATGGCCACCACAACCACCACGGCTACCACAACCACCACCACCACAACCACCACGGCTATCACAACCACCACCACAACCACCACGGCCAACATAACCACCACCGCGGCCACCACAACCACCACCACCATGGCCACCACAACCACCACGGCTACCACAACCACCACCACCACAACCACCACGGTGATCACAACCACCACCACAACCACCACGGCCACCACAACCACCACCAACACACACTCCTCCCCCCAGCCAAGTGAATAGTTTGTTCCAGATGAACTTTGCGCAATGCCCCACAACAATGAGGTCGCTGTGTTGGGAGTCGAGCTGCCGGTGGGACGTGGAGCGTCACCGCACGGAGTGGGTACAGCACCCCGGGGGATCTCACTACACACACACACACACGCTGGGATCTCACTACACACACGGTGGGATCTCACTACACACACACACTGGGATCTCACTACACACACACACACGCTGGGATCTCACTACACACACACACACACGCTGGGATCTCACTACACACACACACACACACGCTGGGATCTCACTACACACACACACGCTGGGATCTCACTACACACACACACACACACTGGGATCTCACTACACACACACACACACGCTGGGATCTCACTACACACACACACACGCTGGGATCTCACTACACACACACACGCTGGGATCTCACTACACACACACACACACTGGGATCTCACTACACACACACACTGGGATCTCACTACCCACACACACGCTGGGATCTCACTACACACACACACACACGCTGGGATCTCACTACACACACACACACACGCTGGGATCTCACTACACACACACACGCTGGGATCTCACTACCCACACACACACGCTGGGATCTCACTACCCACACACACGCTGGGATCTCACTACCCACACACACGCTGGGATCTCACTACACACACACACGCTGGGATCTCACTACACACACACACACACGCTGGGATCTCACTACACACACACACACTGGGATCTCACTACACACACACGCTGGGATCTCACTACACACACACACACACTGGGATCTCACTACACACACACACACACGCTGGGATCTCACTACACACACACACACACGCTGGGATCTCACTACACACACACACACACACGCTGGGATCTCACTACACACACACACGCTGGGATCTCACTACCCACACACACGCTGGGATCTCACTACACACACACACTCTGGGATCTCCCTACCCACACACACACACTGGGATCTCATTACCCACACACACGCTGGGATCTCACTACACACACACACTGGGATCTCACTACCCACACACACGCTGGGATCTCACTACCCACACACACGCTGGGATCTCACTACCCACACACACGCTGGGATCTCACTACCCACACACACGCTGGGATCTCACTACCCACACACACGCTGGGATCTCACTACACACACACACACTGGGATCTCACTACACACACACACGGTGGGATCTCACTACCCACACACACTCTGGGATCTCACTACCCACACACACACACACTGGGATCTCACTACACACACACACACACTGGGATCTCACTACACACACACACACACGCTGGGATCTCACTACACACACACACGCTGGGATCTCACTACCCACACACACGCTGGGATCTCACTACCCACACAAACGCTGGGTTCTCACTACACACACACATGCTGTTCAGAGTATTCGGCTGCTGTAAATTCCCATGTGGTGATGATGATGCTGATAAGGCACTCCGTCGTTAAGCTATCATTTGCGACAGCCAGGCTCGCTCCTCAATATGAGCCACGCAGCTCAGCGGGGCCTCATCTCGTAAAAAAAATTATTCAGCGGACTCTCGATTATCCGCGCTAATGACGGCCGGGGGCGGCCGCGGATCATCCTAAAAGATTCATGTCCCACGGATCTCGATGCCAAAAAACAAACAAAAACTATCGGTCGACCGACGGACGACCGACGGATGACGTGCTTGCTCGGTCGTAACACTTCCCTGGCTCCCGCCGAGGAGGAGGCCTCAGGCCCACTAAGCGGATGACGGCAGGGCCGTGCCAATCAACGGCCACCAAACTCCGCGGGGGCCCGGCTTTCGTGGCGATGCGGCAACGGCCGTCGCCGAGAGGCGATCACGCGGATTTCGGATGGCCCGGAGCGAAAATGTTCGCTCGGCCTGTGCTGGAGCATCGTGCGACTTACGGTGAAGAACGACGGTCTTAAAGACCATCAGTTTGGGCCAGAAGGGAAAATCCACGGGTTGCGAATGTTTCGCTGTCAACATCTCGCCGCAAATCAGATAAACCGCACGCAGATATCCGAGAGCATACCGAGAGCCTCACCTGGCAAAGTAAAACAAAATAAAAGTTTGAGTTTAGGGCAGTGGTTCATAGCCTTTCCTGCAGCCTTGCACCACTTTTTGATTCTCGTCATTAACAACAAAAATGTAATAATGCTAAAAAACTACGGGGGGTGGGGGGTTGATGACACGAAGTCAGTTGCAGCTTTACGTTACCCGTGGCTTCATAAGTGCTTTCGATGATTTACCTTCGAATGATTTAC